TCAAAAGTTTGGGGTAAAAAAATAAATTAATACTTTTATTCCTCGTATTGATAACAGTACATTTCAATTAAATGCTGCTCTTTTGAACTTTCTCTTCATCTGTGAATCCTGAAAAATAAAATGGATCAGTTACCACAAAAATATTGGGCAGCACAACTGTTTTAATAATAGAAACGTTTATTAATAATTAAACATCAATAATAATAGATAAATGTCCCACTCTATTTTTTTTTGCTGAATATACCGTTTTATTTAGAATTTATAATCATGAAAGGCTGTGAATTGTGTTGTATTGTTGGGTTTAAGGGTGAAGTGTGTATATTTTAGTGCGAAATAGAATTGCTAAATTAAGAGTTGTTTCCAAGCAGGTTTCAAACACTCTCTCCATCTGCCTTTGGTCGAACAGAAAGGAAGCCCCGCCCCCAAACTCACACCATTGGTCGAGAAAAATGTTGATATCTCCAGTTAAAAAACAGACTGCAGTTTTTGGTGTCATTTGTGGTCCAGAAAATATAAATAAGAATAACAATATAATATAAATAAAGTTTTATTTTTTTATTTTTTTAATCCCCCATGGCGAAAACGGACTTCCATACAAAGCAGCTTCACATTAATAAACAGGAAAATAACTGTTGCAAAATGAATCAGTTGTGAAACAAATTCAATTTAATCTATAAAGCAGCTCTAGAAGACAGTAGTGTCATTATCCAGCTTTACTTCGTTCAGTTTTAATTCAACTTGGTCAGTGTTGCAAAGTCCATCAATTATGAAACATTGGATTCATCTATAAAGCGGCTCTATATAGTGATGCATGTATGTGTGTATTTACATTTAACAGTAAGACCTTTACTAGATTCTCTAATACAGGCTCACTTTAGTGCTTTAACTTCTTCCCTGGTTAAAGTTAGGCTAGTTAGTTAGTTTGGTCTAGTTAGCCCCTGTTGGTAGATATCATAACTGCACCAAAAAGCATCTAAAAGAGCATTTTCTCCATTGACAATAATTCAAAATGATTTTACATCACAGAAATAAATGTAAAATATATTAAAATATATTAAAAAATAAATAGATTTTTTTTAAAATAAAAATAAAAAACATTTTTAAAGAGATTTTGAAGAGATCAATTAAGAGATGAGTAAATACATAATAAATAAATTAGATTAAATAAGTAAAAAAAAAAAAATATATATATTTTAATAAATTAAAATAAATCAAAATAGAGATTAAGTAAAACAACAAATTTAAATACAAATTTATTAAAAAACCAAAATAGAGTAAAATAAGGAAATAAATGAATATGCGATCTAAAATAAGAAAAAAGATGAGTAAATACATAATAAAAAAATTAGATAAAAGAAGTAAATATGTAAAAAATAAATTAAAATAAATCAAAATAGAGATTAAGTAAAACAACAAATTTAAATACAAATTTATTAAAAAACCAAAATAGAGTAAAATAAGGAAATAAATGAATATGCGATCTAAAATAAGTAAAGAGATGAGTAAATACATAATAAATAAATTAGATAAAATAATAATTATTATTTCATTAAGTTATAGTATGTTTTTCTAATTGCGTTTTTTCCAGATTTACTACTGAGATGAACGGAGATGCTAATAAGTTAACAATAATAATTTACATCATGATTATATGTGTTGCACTGCCTTTATTCTCTGCTGATTTACATCATTGCATTGCAGTGATAATGTTTACAGGACGATTTCTATTTCATCTTCGAGTTTATGCGAACTCTGTGACGTTTCGCTTCTTTAAAGGTAGCAGCGTTTGCACTGAAACACAAAGTATTAAAGCTGGAGTTATGAATGAATGTTGAACGTTATTGTGTTTGGTTACCTTTACTAGGTATTAGTTAAACATGAAAAGCTGGAATGGAATTTGTGAGGAATTATGGCTCCAATTTGAATTCCGATTCCTTAGCAATTCCATTAATAGTTATTTTAGTCCCGAACAAAATGCACATAAACCTGTATGACTTTATTTCTTTCTTCTGTCTTCTTTTGTGTTTCACTGAAGAAAGAAAGTCATACAGGTTTGGACTAATAATTAGCAATTATTATTGATGCTCAATATATTTGATTTCATTTGATGGATTGCATTTATTCAAATGGCTTCGAATCAGCATTAATATGTTCACTGAGAAAACAATTACATGTGTTCAGTTAATTTGCACTAAATCTGGGCATTGAATAAATAATAATTTTTGTTTCATTTTGATATATTAGAGTTAAATATATTACATATATTTAATGTTACATATATAATTTTTTATATTTATTTGGGATAAATAATAATATATTAAAGGTTTTACATATTGTATATTTATAATATAATGTTATGATATATTCCTATCTATTTATTTTTATATTACAATATATTTATAAACAATGTATATTTAAATATTATATTTTTTTCAGGATTCTTTGATGAATAGAACGTTCAAAAGAACAGCATTTATTGGAAATTAAAAAAAACTTGTAACATTAAAAATGTCTTTACTGTCACTTTTCATCAATTTAAATGCATGAATAAAAGTATTATTATTTGTTTATTTTTTTTGTAAGTCCAAACTTTTGAGTGATTTCTGAAGATCATGTGACGCTGAATGATGCTGAAAATTCATCTTTCACACATAGTTACATATAACACAGCTATTTTAAATTATAATAATATTTCACTTTTTTACTGTATTTTTGATGAAATAAATCCAGCCTTGCTGAGCAGAAGAGACTTTTTTCAGAAACATTAAAAAAATCGGAATTATTCCAAACGCCATGCACATGGATTTCTATAGAGAATATGTGATTTTAGAAACTAATAATGGATGCATAAGACAGATTTGGGCAGAATTATATAATTATTTGTACATATGAGAGCTGTTTGTCAAACGCATTCGCTTCATCTGCTTCTGTTCTCACAGATTATCCAACATGACGCAGTTTCTCTCGTCTACACTTTCAAGGCCAGACGCTTGGCATCTCAAATCTGGTTTTTGACCAGCTCATAAGCGTCATTTGTTGACGGGGAAATTAGTGTTTTCATACTTTCAGCTGTAAACAGTAGTTGCCAGGCGAGACTCAGGGTCACTGCTGAGAAACAAGCCAGAGTCCCATCTTTCCCTGCAGAAACTTTAACTGTTCGCCGCTGTGTCAAGAGATTTCAGATTTATGCATTTGAATTGAATAAAAAATGTCCATGCATATGGATTACACCGTTTTAACATAAACTAATGTGGTGCATATTTGACAGTCATGCATAAAGGAAACAGGACAGATTTCTGCACTCTTAAAAAAAAACATGGCATAATTTATTAATAAATATTTGATTTTATTTAAATAATCATATTTTCATATAGCTCTGTTCATTGCGAAAGCGATTACATTCATTCAGTTACAGTTTTTCTCAATTGCTTTGGCTCAATTCTCGAATGAAACTTTTTTTTCCCGAAACAATAAGTTCAGTTATAATATATATTTAAATATGTATGTTTTGGATATCTCTCTTTAACATTGAAATAATTTAAAAAGTATGAACGCTTAAAATATCACTGTGAATTGCTGTGGAACAAGCAATATTCAAATAGAAATAATTGTGTGAGATTGAAACAAATTGGATTTAATGATGCAAACCTGGTTATTGTGTAGTTAAAACACGTTCAGTTTATTAGAACTACTACAGAAATCTGACCTGTTTCATTAATGCACGACTGACAAATATGCATCACATTAGGTTTATTAGTGGTTTATGTTGAAACGGTGCATATATGCAACTCAAATGCATGAATCTTTTTCAAGTTTAGGCGTGAGACCGACCGCACGCACGGCGTAAACCCGACCCAACACACGGCTGCAATAAACCAACAAATGAAGCCATTACAGAAGCGTTTAAGGTGCGCAGACATCCGCGTTTGAAGGGTTTGAGGAGCGGCTGTGGATCTCAGCACAGAAACAGACCAGACGCAGGTGAAAACACAGATCCTTCTCCACGAGCCTGACTGCTTTCGTTAGAGGAGCACGCGCTGAAATATTTGGCTCGGCTGTTTATATTTATGAATATTTATTCATGAAAGAATTCTGAAAAAAGTATCACAGGCTCCAAAAAAAAAAAAAAAAAAAAAAATTACATTTTGAAGCATATTAAAATAGAAAACCATCATTTTAAATTGTAATAATATTTCACAATATTACATTGTTTTATGTATTTCTGATCAAATAAATGCAGCCTTGATGAGCAGAAGAGACTTCTTTAAAATGTAATAAAAATCATCTGATCAAACTTTTGAACGGCGGTGTATATATATGTTTATAGAATATTTATATACAGTATAATATATATTTAAACTTTTTTAATGATGAACCGAATGAAGTGTAAAAACTGATATCCATTATTTTCACTCAATAAATGTAACATCATCATAGTTTGTGTTTTCATAGTTTCAGGCGAGACGCCACAGAATGCTAAGTAACAGATATCACCATATTAATATATTTCTGTATGACAAGTTGTCTGAAATGTTATGCTTCAATATGAAAATGAGGCATTATCTAATTCAATATGCACTAATTTGCAAACATCTCCAGGACAAATCTGCACATTGGAGGTTCAAAAGTTGTTGTCATATTAGAGTTAGAATTTCTCTTTTTATCACTTATCATGTTTTTAGGAATGAATGTTAAATACATTGCATATAGTGGTGTATAGGTTTCAGAATATAGATAGGAATAAAACTGTTAAGTTTGGTGTATGCAAGTGGAGAGAAAACCCCTTTAAAGATATGTATTGTAATTGAAATCAGATGCAAATAGATAACGCGTTAAAAAACGAACACTGTGTATTCTGGATGGTTTGAAAGAAGAGAACTTGAGCAGTGCATGAAAAAAGCCGAACTTTCTCAGTCGTCCCATCTGAAGTGACGCGCGTTGACTCCGCCCCGCCGCAGCGTCAAACTCGCTTCAGCCGCGCACAGTCCAAGCGGACGACCAGACCTCGCGATGCTCGCGCTCACGCTGTGGACTCTAGCGCTGCTGTGGAGCGCCGCGCGCGTCGACGCCAGGGCACCCGACGAGTTCTTCAGCGGGAGCGTTTACCGCGCGAGGTGCGCGTCGCGTTGCCTCAGCCTGCACATCACGCGCATTTCTGCCGCTTTCAAGCATTTCCAGGTGCGTCCGAATGTGACATTCTATCAGACTAGAGTTTCAGTGGAAAATTCTACAACTTTGTCTTTGGTTACACAATCTTGGCATTTAGATCCGTATGCTTATGTTATTATGATTATTACTAGAACGGTCCGATATGTGCTTTTGAATGACCGATATATGGAGTGTACAGAATTTATGAAATCAAATGAATCGCTTATTTTATATTATATGAACGATATTATTATTTTACATGATTTAAATTAATTTGAATATTTAAAAACGTTTAACATACGGTGTGTTGGCCAAACTGTGAGTCGATTTTGAACCTGACGCATTGATCTTATTGCTCATTAGTGACCTAGAGGCTACTAGTAAAACTATTCAGTGACAGAATATGAAACGAACACTTAATATTTGCTCAAAATGTACAGAAAGAGTATATTTGGGATGGAACAGACTCGTGAATATCGGCTATTTAATCAGCTTTATCGGTCCGTCGTATAGAATTATTTAGTTTAGGTTAGAAATGAATCATGTTTTTCGTGGTCATATCCGGTTGGTTGCTGAGACTGTGCGCTTTATTGATGAGGGTGTTGAAATCAGTTTTCAGCTCTGAACTCTCTTCTGTTCTGGTTAATCTGGTTTAAAGAAGCAATTAATATCTGCATCAAACAGACTGCACACGTGATTGATGTGTATGCACAACTAAAACAATGGTTATACTCAGAGAGTATACTAAAGAGTCGATTACATCCCTTCAGTGACCTTATATTTTCATGAAGAAAATGTAACATATTTAATACTTGTTATTTAAGCACATTTCCCTTCCAAAATTATATATATGTATTTTTAAAATAATTTTGATGTTTTATTTATTTATTTATTGCAGTAATGAGAACTGGGCAGGATAACGGCTTAATAGTCAAAACATTATTTTATGACATTTAAGCACATTTCCATCCCATATTCTTATTAATGTAATTTGAAAAAAAGTAATTATATATATATATATATATATATATATATATATATATAAAATATTTCCCTCCCAAATTCTTATGAACGTAATGTGAATTTTTTTTATTTTTATTACTTAAAAATAAAAAAAAGGTGTTTTTTTTGTTGGTGGTTTTTTGTTGCAGTAATGAGAACTGTACATGGGCTGTACATGACGTATGCTCTTGATCAAGTCTATAAATTATTGCACAAAGTCATTTGTTTGTTAGTGTCTTCAACTTCTCTCATGATATATGAATAGTAGCTTGAATAGTAGCAAACACACTGCATTTTTGCATTTGTTGGTCATACCTTGTTAGATACTGCAACCAGTTTAATGTATGTTTAAAAGGCATTATTTTGAGTCTTTGTTGCATTTTGGCTGACTGGTTTAAAGAAGCAATTAATATCTGCATCAAACAGACTGCACACGTGATTGATGTGTATGCACAACTAAAACAATGGTTATACTCAGAGAGTATACTAAAGAGTCGATTACATCCCTTCAGTGACCTTATATTTTCATGAAGAAAATGTAACATATTTAATACTTGTTATTTAAGCACATTTCCCTTCCAAAATTATATATATGTATTTTTAAAATAATTTTGATGTTTTATTTATTTATTTATTGCAGTAATGAGAACTGGGCAGGATAACGGCTTAATAGTCAAAACATTATTTTATGACATTTAAGCACATTTCCATCCCATATTCTTATTAATGTAATTTGAAAAAAAGTAATTATATATATATATATATATATATATATATATATATATAAAATATTTCCCTCCCAAATTCTTATGAACGTAATGTGAATTTTTTTTATTTTTATTACTTAAAAATAAAAAAAAGGTGTTTTTTTTGTTGGTGGTTTTTTGTTGCAGTAATGAGAACTGTACATGGGCTGTACATGACGTATGCTCTTGATCAAGTCTATAAATTATTGCACAAAGTCATTTGTTTGTTAGTGTCTTCAACTTCTCTCATGATATATGAATAGTAGCTTGAATAGTAGCAAACACACTGCATTTTTGCATTTGTTGGTCATACCTTGTTAGATACTGCAACCAGTTTAATGTATGTTTAAAAGGCATTATTTTGAGTCTTTGTTGCATTTTGGCTGATCTTTAATCTCTAGTGTATGAGAACATGCAGTACAACAGATGATTTTCCGTTTTTAGTAAAGTGAAGGCTTTGTGTTGCTCTTACGCTCTTGTTTTGTCAGAAGTCGTGCATCTACACCGCATTAGTTTCCTCAGAGCTCAGCGAAAGGCTCTTCTCCTTCGAATGTTTCCTCACTGCTTGCATCTGAATGCACACGAGTGTGTTCAAGGTTAATGCATGCATCTAAAGCGTGAAACTTGCCATGCAACCCAAACAAGTTGACATGCATGCGAAGATAAATGCACTTGTGACGGTTTATGATGTTGCCATTTGGCAG